CATGAACTAAATGGCATATACAAATGCAAGATGGACTTACACCAATATGAGTGGACCTCAGCCACACTCACATCAGTGGCCATATGATGAAAATGAGACAACCGAAATACATGCAAGCATGCACGAATGCAATGGACCGATCCTAAGGCACAACATGCAACTCTAACTAAGCATGGCAAAGGATGAAATATGGCATACAAGCATACATTTTTCAGCTCTAAATCATGATGTACAATGGTCCCAAATCATGCAAATATGTTACCCAATGCATGCTAGATGGCCTGAATACTGAAACTAGTGAAGTGCGTTACACTATAGGTACACAAAGCAATGCACGAATGGCAAAACCAACACCAAACAGACCCTAAGCAGGTCTGAAACAGTGGGAAAATGGCCCAAAATGATGGTTCAAAGTGCATGGAAATGAAGCTCATTCAATGGTCCGAAAACAAGGCATTCATGCACAACTCTCAAGCACACTTAAAGAGGAGAAAACATGAGGATATGGCATTCACATAGGCTCTGAAATATGATGTAAAATGACTCCAAAGCATGAAAGCACCTCAGTATATGCATGCAATAGACCTCAAATCTCAAAGTTAGGCAAGTGTATTGAACTACAAGCATGCAAAACAAGCATCATTCGACCATGAGACCCAAAAACAGAGCTAGGGCAGTCCAAAATATGCACAAAATCAGTTTAAGGCAAGGCCAAAAAGTGCTAAAATCAATTGTCAACAAAGCATGCAAAATAAGCTAGTGAACCATGATTTGCACTACAACTATATGAAGCACATGAGAGCTCACCAAACCAGCCAAAAACAGAAGCATGTCATGCCAAAAAATGCCCAAAAACCCACTGAAACTCAGTCAATGCATGCAAGAATGATGTGTCCCTTTGAAAGGCCAATAAGAGGGTTGTTCTACACATGCAAGACAGACATACAAAATGGAAAAACCACCTCTGGAAAGAGGTTATGATGGCCCTAAACCTCACTGAAAAGGGCTTGAAATTAGTCTAGGAAGCATGCAAGTGAAGGCCCCTTTGAAAGGCCTTGAAGAAGATTACTCTACACATGCATAATAGACATCTAATATGGCAAAACCACCTCTGGACAGAGGTTATGCAGGTCACCAAACTCATCAAAAATAGATTGGAGCATGGCTTTGAAATATGCAAATAGGGGCTCCTTTGGAAGGCCAAGAAAGCTAGTAAAGAGAACAAAGGGTGAGAGGGTCACCCCTCTCTGATTTTGAGGGTCAAAGAAACATGTTAGCCACCGAAAATCCACTAGATTTTAGTGGCTAAAAGGCCAAACCAAGGCCGACACAAATGCTCTAAAACATAGCTCAAAACATGAGAAAATGAAGCATGCAAGGGGGTAGATGACCCCCAACAGAAAAATGGTCTTAAACAAACATGTTTATAAGATCAAAACAAGACCTTTTTTAGTTTATGACAAAGCCTAAATATGCTTTCAAATAGAGCTAAACTATGAAGCAAAACAATGTCAAAAAGAGGGAAATGAAGTGTTACACTAGTAGCCAAAGGAACCAGCAACTTATGGATGAAGATAGCAAGTCTTCAACCTCTGAAAATGAGCTCCAAGGTACTTGGATGGATGATGGAGAGGTTAGGCTAAGAGGTGTAGTGCAATGGTGCAAGAACAAGGGACCATTGGAGCTAAAATGGAGAGAAATAAGGAGGGAAGTGTATGTATGCCTTGAAGCAAAATTCTGAACCAAGGCCAAGGAGGGGAGGCCCTTCCTTTATAGAGGAAAAGATCTAAAGCTTCTCCAAGAAGCTCAAAAGCTAGGCCAAACATCCTCCATACTATGGAGGATGCACCAAATGCCTCCCAGCTGGCACAATTGGAACACACTTAGAGAGAGGAAAAAGCAGATGGCTGGCCGACCAGTTCAGGTGGTCGGCCGACCATGCCCCTTGGTCGGCCGACCAGGTTCAAAAGGGTCAAGCTCAAAAGGTGGTCGGCCAGCCCATATTGGTGGTCTCCCAGGTGAATGCAACTCAGTGGTGGTATGGGAGACCAGAAAATGTGGCTCAAAAGTGAAGGAGATGTGTTGTATTACTTTAGCCTTGCTTTGAGCTTATTTAAATCTATTTAGTAGATTATATTGTGTGTTAGTAGCTAGGAGTGTCAAAAATTTAGCTTATGTTTTTTCATTTTCTCCCTTCACTTTTCCTTTCTCTGTAGAAATCTTTGAATTAGAAATAACCTACGATGATGGTAATTTGTAGTTGCTTTTCAGTAGGGACATCTCTTGAATGCTTAAGATTATAATTGATCACACATGCATGGATTTTATGAATACGTAAAATTGCCAAAGAGAATTTAATTCTCCACTATTTCTATTCCTGTACTATTTTTGAGGGGTAGTAAATTTTTAATTGGGTTTATTAACCCTTTAAAATATTAAATATATAATTCAGTGATGAAAACTTCTACATGTGTGGTGGCTGATGTAAGCATATAAACTTTAAATTTCTATTATTTCCACGTTCATCATTTGATTACTGCCTACCATTTACAAGTTTCCCAATGTTATTCTCAATATATGAAATACCTTGTCCACTAGTTGATTTCATTAAAAAGCACTAACCCTACTCCTGAAGGCAAGGCTCTCAGCCGAGACTTTACAACCTCAGAACGAGCACAATATGCAACGTCAATGAGCGCTCAGTTGGTGACGTCTGAGTCTTAAGGTCGGTCAAAAATGGGGTGTCTACAATCACCCATCTTGGAATTATTGATAATTTATCTGTTGGATGTAATTATTATCTGTTTAGAAATAATTGCTTTGGGCTATCGGTAGAGGATAGTCTTGATTGTTGTAGACACTGCATGATGATTAGATGAATTGAAACTAATCCGTTGAATATGTCATTGTATATGGCGGTTGGAATAATACATCGAATCTGTGTATTGATTGATCGTGTATATGATAATTGTTTATATACATTGTTTTGTGTGGGAGGAGATAGAGGATGTACTCCACAGTTTAGGGGAAGATAGGGGATGGACTCCTAAACCGGATGTTATTTGGGAGGAGATAGGGGATGGACTCCATTGATACAGCGAATCTGTGTATCATTTATGAAGTATGGAAGTTTTTGAATATGGCATTGATACAGTAAATATGTGTATCTATTGTGAATTATGGAAGTGTTTTGTTATGAGTTATAATCTCACCTAAATTGTTGGTATTGGAGAAGTTTTTAACATGAGCCGTAGTCTCATGGGAATTGTTTGGCCAGGTTCTGAGCCATGTTTATAAGTCGAAATTTGTTAAGTAAAGGAAAATAGAATGAAGCATGAACATATGTGTCATGGAACTGAAATGTGTTATGAGTTGATTTGTATGAGTTAAACATTTATCGAATGCTCGTGTTTTAGTCATTGTTCATATTATGTTTAGCATATCTCTACTGGGTGTTGGCTCACCCTATATGTGACATCATTTTCAGGTGCAGGTGATATGCCGCCTCCAAGTACTTAGCTTGTGAGGTTTTAGGAGCTGAAGGCTTACTTTTGTAATTATTTTGTGTATTACATGTAATTCAAGCCAAGAGCTTATTTTGTGTTTTGAGTTAGTACTCTCATTTTTGTAACCAAGTGTTGGCTTGGAAAGTTGTAAGCCCGTAGGGCATTTACTTTTCTTGTCAACATGTAATATCTTTGGATTAAATACTCTGATGAATGGAAATATGTTTATTTCTCCTATCTTTATAGATGTCACGAATGTATGGTTTATGGGTTTATTTTGAGGGCGTTACACTCTTGGGTTATCCCTTCTCTTGCTTCAAGAGTTTGCTTCTACATGGTGGATGGGGTGTTTTCTGGTGTTCTCCATTTTTTGTGTGCTAGCTTTCATGGTGAGAACTAAGAACCCACTTTGGTTATCCAGATTTGCTATGAAATTTATCCTTTTCTTTCTAGATTCTTGTTTGTGTATGCAAGATCTTGTGGTGGTTCTTGTTGATGGGTAAATTTCTGTGTGCTCTTTGATTTGCCATTAAGAGTGATATCAAAAAGGCTTGAGTTTGTGGGATCCCATGAAATTTTTATATTTGTTGGAGATGGTATTTTGTTCCAACACAGCTGGAGTTTTGGCTGAACGACCTCCATGTGTCCCTGCTGTTATTGTTGCTGAGTTGTTGAGGAGCTGCTGCAGTGTTTGCTGCTGGTTTGTTCAAATCCATGCTGGGTTTGTTTCAAAACCATTGGACTGAACTTTATTTAAAATTTATTTGTCTAATGTGTTGTATTACTTTAGCCTTGCTTTGAGCTTATTTAAATCTATTTAGTAGATTATATTGTGTGTTAGTAGCTAGGAGTGTCAAAAATTTAGCTTATGTTTTTTCATTTTCTCCCTTCACTTTTCCTTTCTCTGTAGAAATCTTTGAATTAGAAATAACCTACGATGATGGTAATTTGTAGTTGCTTTTCAGTAGGGACATCTCTTGAATGCTTAAGATTATAATTGATCACACATGCATGGATTTTATGAATACGTAAAATTGCCAAAGAGAATTTAATTCTCCACTATTTCTATTCCTGTACTATTTTTGAGGGGTAGTAAATTTTTAATTGGGTTTATTAACCCTTTAAAATATTAAATATATAATTCAGTGATGAAAACTTCTACATGTGTGGTGGCTGATGTAAGCATATAAACTTTAAATTTCTATTATTTCCACGTTCATCATTTGATTACTGCCTACCATTTACAAGTTTCCCAATGTTATTCTCAATATATGAAATACCTTGTCCACTAGTTGATTTCATTAAAAAGCACTAACCCTACTTTGAGAAGGAAGAAGTCAAAATTGAATCATAATTGAGGGAAATTAATTTTTATCTGCGTATGGATTTTTCATTAATTTTTATATGCGTATGAAATACCCCACTTGACTTCTTTATGTTGCTTATCTGTATGTGATAAATTCATGTTTATAAACGATATGCCCTTTTTTCCAGCCATGGTTGGTGATGTGAATATATACATGAATGACTTGGAAGATTCCCAAATGGAAGAGATTGAAATAATGATAGCTGAGCCCAAAAGGTACATGCCTTTCATTTTCTTCTTATGATAGTGCCAATGATGACTGGGAGTCGCAGATTATTTCATTATCATTGATTGCTCATCTCTTCTTATTTTCATTTATAATTAAATCCATAGTATATGTGTCCATGTACATCCATATTTTCCTTCGGACCATTATGTTTCTTTTGTTTTGGTTACTATTTTACTTTGCTCTAAAGTTGTTCTTGGATGATTCCCAAATGGCAGAGATTGAAATAATGATAGCTGAGCCCAAAAGGTACATGCCTTTCATTTTCTTCTTATGATAGTGCCAATGATGACTGGGAGTCGCAGATTATTTCATTATCATTGATTGCTCATCTCTTCTTATTTTCATTTATAATTAAGTCCATAGTATATGTGTCCATGTACATCCATATTTTCCTTCGGACCATTATGTTTCTTTTGTTTTGGTTACTGTTTTACTTTGCTCTAAAGTTGTTAAAGATGTGGATGCTACAACAATGTTTTTTTTTCCCCTGGTTGATGATTTTTTTTAAAAGCAACAAATGAAGTATTAAACTCTCTCTATATATATATATATGTTTTATATGTATATTAACATTGATACTAATTATATTACATGATTTTACTTCAACAAGTGAAGCATAGTATATGACAGACATAGTTTAAGCATATTTTACTTGTTTGTCTTATTCAATGCAGGATGACTTTAATCGTCAACTCTTCATGCTACCTGAGGATTGCCGGACTTTAGAGGCTAGGAATGCCATTTTCCATGAGTTGATAGGTCATGACAGACATGGATATTGTCACACTTATAGGAGAACTATGCCTTGGAACGCGGTGTATAAAGATGGTGCTAGGCCATCACGGTCAACACCCCAGCCATTGACTATTGTTCAGATCACCCAACTGGTTCGTACGGAGCTAAAGGATGAGTTGAAGGAGGAGCTGAAGGAGGAGATGCGAGCGGAGTTCTCTACACATTTACAGCAAATGAGAGCTGAGATGGTGGTCTTTGTGTCACAAGGGGCAAGTGTGGATCCCAACAGACAGGTTCGATATAAATTAAATTGTTTGATAGTTAAATTTTCACACAACATATATATACATATATATAATAAAATTTGAATATGATTAACACATTATGTATGCACTGTCATAGGTTCTTGATGCATCGAGTGGCCAACGGATATTTAGGGAATCTGCAGGAGATGAGACTCCATATACACCACCGCCGGAAGATCATGTATAAAATGTATCTTTGCATTCTAAGCTAAGAATTAACATACATCAACTGTACACAACCCAAAATGATAGAGGCTAATTCCATAGCTAGAAAGAAAGATAAAGGATTTTCCATTGTTAGCACGAAACATAGCACACACGACTGCCTAGGCATGAGAGACTTGTGGGAGAAGACGGGACTCGAATCGGGTTCCCTTTTTGAGAATTAGAGCCAGATTTTGGTCGAGGCAAACTAGTTCTTTAAAAAACTTAGAATTCGAGGTGTTAACACCCAAAATCACCAAATGGCGTCGGATTATCACGAAACTTGATACACACAACCTCCTAGGCATGAGAGACTTGTGGGAGAAGACACGACTCGAATCGGGTTCCCGATTTAGGAGTTAGAGTTGGATTTCGGTCAAGGCAAATTAGTTCTTTAAAAAACTTAGAATTCGAGGTGTTAACACCGCAAAATCACCAAACGGCATCGGATTCACACGAAACTTGGCACACACGACCGCCTAGGCACGAGAGACTTGTGGGAGAAGATAGGACTAGAATCAGGTTCCCGGTTTGGGAGTTGGAGCCAGATTTTTGTCTAGGCAAACTAGTTCTTCAAAAAACTTAGAATTCGAGGTGTTAACACCCCAAAATCACCAAACGACGTCGGATTAGCATGAAACTTGGCACACACGACCACCTAGTCAAGAGAGACTTGTGAGAGAAGACGGGACTCAAATCAGGTTTCCGGTTTGGGAGTTAGAGCCGGATTTCGGTCTAAGCAAAGTAGTTCTTTAAAAAACTTAGAATTCGAGCTATTAACGCCCCAAAATCACCAAACGACATCGGATTAGCACAAAACTTGGCACACATGACCACCTTGACATGAGAGACTTATGGGAGAAGACGAGACCCGAATTGGGTTCCCAGTTTTGGAGTTAGAGCCGAATTTCACTTTAGGCAAACTAGTTTTTTAAGAAACTTAGAATTCAAGGTGTTAACGCCCCAAAATCACCAAACGGCGTCGGATTAACACGAAACTTGGCATACATGACCGTCTTGGCACAAGAGACTTGTGGGAGAAGACAGGACTCGAATCGAGTTCCCGGTTTGGGAGTTGGAGCTAGATTTCGGACTAGACAAACTAGTTTTTTTAAAAAATTAGAATTTGAGGTGTTAACGCCCCAAAATCATCAAACGGTGTCAGATTAGCCCGAAACTTGGCACACACAGCCTCCTTGGCACGAGAGACTTGTGAGAGAAGACGGGACTCAAATCGGGTTCCCAGTTTGGGAGTTAAAGCCGGATTTCAGTCTAGGCAAATTAGTTCTTTAAAAAACTTTGAATTCGAGGCGTTAACGCCCCGAAATCATCAAACGGCATCGAATTAGCATGAAAATTTGCACACACAACCACCTAGTCACGAGAGACTTGTGAGAGAAGACGGGACTCAAATCGGGTTCCCAGTTTGGGAGTTAAAGCCGGATTTCAGTCTAGGCAAACTAGTTCTTTAAAAACTTAGAATTCGAGGTGTTAACGCCCCAAAATCCCCAAACGGCGTCGGATTAGCATGAAACTTGGCACACACGACTGTCTAGGAACGAGAGACTTGTGGGAGAATACGGGACTTGAACCGGGTTCCCAGTTTGGGAGCTGGAGCCAAATTTCGATCTAGGCAAATTAGTTCTTTAAAAAACTTAGAATTCGAGGTGTTAACGCCCCAAAATCACCAAATGGTGTCGGATTAGCGTGAAACTTGGCACACACGGCCTCCTTGGCATGAGAGACTTGTGGGAGGACACGGGACTCGAATCGGGTTCCCGGTTTGGGAGTTAGAATCGGATTTCACTCTAGGCAAACTAGTTTTTTAAGAAACTTAGAATTTGAGGTGTTAATGCCCCAAAATCACCAAACGGTGTCGGATTAGCACAAAACTTGGCATACAAGGCCACCTTGGCACGAGTGACTTATGGGAGAAGACAGGACTCGAATCGGATTCCCGGTTTGGAAGTTAGAGCCATATTTCACTCTAGACAAATTAGTTTCTTAAGAAACTTAGAATTCAAGGTGTTAACACCCCAAAATCACCAAACGGTGCCGGATTAGCATGAAATTTGGCACAAATGACCGCCTTGGCACGAGAAACTTTTGGGAGAAGACAGGACTAGAATCAGGTTCCTAGTTTAGGAGTTGGAGTCGGATTTCACTCTAGGCAAATTAGTTTTTGAAGAAACTTAGAATTCGAGGTGTTAACGCCCCAAAATCACCAAACGACGTCGGATTAGCATGAAACTTGGCACATACGACTGCCTTGGCACGAGAGACTTGTGAGAGAAGACGAGACTCGAGTCGAGTTCCCGATTTGGGAGTTAGAGCCAGATTTCACTCTAGGCAAACTAGTTTTTTAAGAAACTTAGAATTCAATGTGTTAACGCCCCAAAATCACCAAACGGCGTCGGATTAACACAAAACGTGGCACACACGATTGCCTAGGCATGGGAGACTTGTGGGAGAAGACATGACTCAAATCGGGTTCCCAATTTGGGAGTTAGAGCCGGATTTTGATCTAGGCAAAATTATTTACTTAATTATCTTTGTAATTGTATAGCAGTTAAGTTTTTATGGTTTTTTTTGTAATTAACATATTAAAACATAATTATATTGTCATTAATTATTTTTATTTTTTTTTCTAGATATTTCCAGAGTTGGAGTTTGCTTTTTGTGGGTTTCATGCCTTTGAAGAATGCCACTAATTTTTCTTTTTGTATCACGGAGAATGATGAAGAAAACTTTTAATTTTGGTTATGTTATTTTGAATTATGAACAACATTATGTATTTGAACATTATATTTGTATTATGGAACATTATGTAGTGGCATAATTTTATTGATGTGTAGTAATGAATGCAAGAATATTTTTATTATGGAGAAATTGTTATTTCTATACAGGAATTTTTATATTATTATTCAATTATTGGTTTCTTTTTCAATTGTTTTTCATTTAATACAGGTAATTTTAATATTTTCAATAATTTTTTTACCCCTTTTTTTTTTTTTTGCGACGGCACCACCCCGTTGCAAAAAACATGTAATTTTTTTTTTTTAATAATTTTTTTTGCGACGACACCAAACCATCGCAAATAACAGGTAACTTTTTTTTTTATTTTCAATAATTATTACATGGTTTTTTTTTTTGCGACAGTACCACACTGTCGCAAAAAATCAAAACATTTTTTTGGTGACATATTCAATGTCGTTGCAAAAAAAAATTACGACAGAAATCTTTATCGTCTCAAATAAAACTTTTAGCGATTGTAAAATAGTATCGTTAGAAAAGGTCTCTATTTTTTACACACTATAGGCGACAGTAAAATGCTGTCGCAAAAAGCAACATTTGCCATCGCAAAAAAAAGGCGACGACATCATGCCGTCGCTAAAAACGTTTTTGCAACGCCCTCTATTGTGACCCCCCGTTTGCCGTTGCTAAAAGTTTTTTGAGACGGCATGATGAGTATTTGCGGCGGCATTTTGTCGTCGCAAAAAACTGAAATCTTTTCTAGTGTATCTTATATATTATATTATAACATAACCAAAAGAAAAAAAAACTAAAAATCAAATATGCAAACAGATAAAATTAATAAATTTGATTTTTATTTATTCAGCCAAATTCTAGGCAACAATGGTTTGGCAAAACAAGCAACCAACCTATTCCAAACACACCACCTCAACCCGGTAACCAAAATAAAGGGAAGCCTAGGGAAACAAGTTATGAACAACCATTCAAACCATACCAACCCGAGTCCAAAACACCACAAAAGAT